TACCAAAACATGTTGCTTTTTTCAAGAAATTGGAGATATTAGTAATTTTCACAAAAAATTAGCATTTCAATTGGATTCAATTATTAATATTAATAATATTAATAAAATTTTAAATGATAATAATGAAATTTTAAATGTGAAATATGAAGAACTTTATCCTTTTGCTCGTAAGTATGCTGCATCCAATTATTAATTTTTGATATATATTCTTTATTAAATAACTTCTACTTTATTAAGGTAATGAAATAATGCAAATAGATGATGCTAATAAAAACAGTAAAGTAATGCAAGTAGATAACAGTAGTGATGCTGATGCTGAAGGTTATGAGGATGATGCAAAAGGTGATAATGAAGATGATGATGATGATGAAAGAAGTGAAGAAGACATGAATAAAGATGAGGATGAAAATGTGGATAATGATAATAAACGAAATATTAAACGACAATGTAAATCTATAATTTGATTAGTTTTATTAGATTAAAAAAAAATATTCTCTAATTTTTAATTTTAGGCATTGCGACAAAAACCTCCAAATGGGTTAATCAGTCCTCTATATTTGCTTTTCTACAAGAAGTATCCCAAGATATTATAAACCAATGTGTTATTTTAGCATCTATTACACAGGATACTAAATTTGACAAAATTGAAATTAACCCAACAAAAAAAATTGCAATACTTAAGAACAATCAGGGAGACATAATAATTGAGCCAATTAATCCTGTAGAAATTTGGAAGTCAATTATAAACATTAAATTCCCTAAATTAGAAAAGGTTAGTAAAAAGCAATTTAACCAAGATCTTTACCCATATCTTGGCTATTTTGCTAATTTTTAACCTACTAAAAAAGGATATATTAACTAGTAATAAATTAAAAGTTTCAAATCAATATCATGAACTATTGGCTTTTGAAGGGGAACTATCTGTTATTGCACCATTTTATGATAAAAATTCTGCTATTAAAAAAGATGATTATTATAAAAGTATTTTTAAATATCTAAATAAACTTTCTATACTTTGTAAAACTTCAATAGTTTAATTTGATCCTGCTCAGATTAACAGTGGTTTAGCTTTAGAATATGAAAATCTTAGATTATCAAATTCTGATAATAGTTTAGATTTACAAGATCAGATCATGCTTTTAAGGTGTACATCGCAAGTATCTCAAGATCTTAGAGTTAGTAACTGTTCAAAGCATGATATATCAGATACAAAAGTCCAAGTTTTTATAACATTAATGAGTATGTGCTATCAGTCTATTTTTGATTGTAATATTACAACTTATAATATTGAAGTCTCTCGCAGAATGTCATTTCGGTTTTTGTATAAATTTGAATTATCATATAATTACTTAATAGAATGGGTAAAAAAATATACAACCTGTGAAAAAGGAACCACGTGCGCAAATCAAGTAAGATCACTACTTACTAGAAAGAAATTATTATCTGACATATTTAATATTAATCAATCAAACAATTCATTTAATATTAAACATATTATTGATGGCGATTCTTTTAAAGTAAGAAAAAGAAAAAAGAATCTAAATTTAGAAAGCTATTCAAATTTGAACATAAATATTCCTGGCTTTGTAGGAAATATTTCATCAAGGAAGCTTACAACTTTCATTACTGCAGGCTTCGCTTGCATTAATTACTTGAAGTACTCAATAATAATTAGGTACTTCTAGATATAATCAATGATGTAAGCATTACTTGGTTAGAGAATATGAGAAAAGATGGATGGATAGCTTTTATTAAAAATATTAAAGGAAATTAAATACTTTAAATTAAAAATTTTGTATTAATTTTGTATTAGTCTTGCTAAATTGCTTTTATTGTAATATATTGTTTTGTATAATTAAAATATTGGTTGTATAATTGAAATATTAATTGCATAATTAAAATATTAGTTATATTAAATAGTAGACAATTATATAATTTTAAATAGTGATTATAGTAAGTCTGATATGAGCATTATCAAAAAAAACTTTTTATTAGATTTTTAATTATATTTTATATAGAGTTAACTGTCTATGAAAATCTATCATAATGATAGATTTTTTTAGATGGCTAACTCTATATAAAATATAATTAAAAGTTCGATAACAGGTAATAAATTTTACTAACAGATTATTCTTATATTAGTATACTAATTCTTTTAATTTTTTCACAACTTGTTTTTGTAAATTGCTTTTCTATTAGTTTGGCAAAATACGAATTCATTATTTGCAAAAAAAAATATAGTAAAAAAAGGTTAGTTTTTTTTAATAAATTGTTAGTAAAATTAATTAACTTAACAAAATTCGATTTTTAAATACTTATTTTAATTTATAAATTTTATAATAATTAGCTATGGATAATAAAGTTTTATGTACTTGTATATTTTGCATACAAGAAACTAAGGGTCGTGGCAAATTAATAAGTATCTCTACTCAAACAAGGCATAGGAAATGAGAAAAAAATCTTCAAAATTTTTTTCCAATTTCAAATAATAAAACTAATAATATTTCAAATAAACAAATAAATATTGTTGGTATGGAGGATATTAAGGAAAATATTGATCAAAGTAAGATAAAATTTTTTTTAGATTATTTTGAATTAATTTTTTTAAAAATTAAATTAATTTTTAAATTTCAGATTTAGAAAATGAGACATTGGAGGAGGATGAATCAGAGGAGGATGAATCAGAGAAGGATGAATCGGAGGAGAATGAATTGAAGAAGGATGAATTAGAGGAGGAGGAAGATGAATTAGAGGAGAAGGATGAATTAGAGGAGGGTGAATTAGAGAAGAATGAATTAGAGGAGGATAAATCAGAAAGTAGTGAAAAAACAAGGTTTGAATCAAAAGAAAATTTTGATAATATTGAATTTAACAGTAATTATTTTTAATATTTAATTTAAAAATGTTTCTTTAAAAATTTTTATATTAATATTTTTATATTTTAAATTTACCAAATGAAATAATTAAAGAGCTTCAACTTCTTTATATCAAAGATAAACATACAATTTCTGATCAAGCATTTAATAAATATTAGAAATTTTTAATATTTCTAATGTTTCTCTTTATCGACTTCAAAAGTTTTAGGAAATTTGGTTTCACTAGAACCAAAGCTTATAGATATTTGTTGGAATTCTTGCTGTGCATTTACTGAACAAAATGCTAATCTTAATACATGTCCAATATGTAAAGAGTCACAATATACAACTAAAAAAAAACTAAAAAATCTCGAAAACAATTAGCATATTTTTCAATAACTGATAGCTTAAAATTACAATATAAAAATCCATCATGAGCAAAAGATCTTAGATATCGGTATGAATATATATTAAGAAAAGAATATACTTATGAGAATAGCAAAATTGGGGATGTTTTTGATGGCAATAGATATAAAACTTTAGTAGCAATAGGCTTATTTTTAGATTATAGAGATGTTGCTTTAATTGCATCTATGGATGGCTATCAAATTTTTAAGCAAAAACAAAATGACTATTGAATAATTTTGCTTTTAAATGCAAATCTCTTACCATCAAAAAGAGTAAAAAAAAAAATTTTAATAATTATTATGGTTATACCTGAACCAAAATCTCCAAAAGATTTTAATTACTTTTTACAACCATTAGTTGATGAATTAAAGCAACTTGAATATAATTTTTTTTAAATTTTAAATTATATGATTAATAGTATTAAATATATTAATTAAATTAAAATTTTGTAAATGGTATAACTTGTTATGATACAATATTAAAAGAAACATTTAAATTGCATAGCTATATTCTTTCATGGTCTGAAGATATTCCTGCTTTATCTAAAGTTATGTATCTTTCAGGCCATAATGCTAAATATGGATGCCGATATTGTTATATAAAAGGATCTTATTCTAAAACTACTAGACATATGTAGTATCCACTTCAATCATTACAAGAATATAATAATTATGATCCAGAAAATTTACCAATGCATTCTCATAATAGTTATATTCTAGATAGTAATGAATGCAAAAAAGGTAAGTTTTATTATTATATTAATTAAATTTTAACTTATTTTAATTTATTTATTTATTATATTAATAGACGTAAATGGATATAATATTTTATTTGAATTATCTTCAATTAATTTTCTTTTATCATTTTCAGTAGATATTATACATGCACTTTTTAAAAATATTGCTCCTCATATGTTTCGTCACTTTATAGGAAAATTTTTTAAAAATGAAAATTTAAATAATTCCGAATATAAAATTTCAAAAAATAATTGAAACGAAATTGAAAAATAATTGAATATAATAAGAAAACAATGCCAACAGATTTTGGTAGACCTCTTATTAATATTCAAAAATATTACTTATTTTTTAAAGCTAAAGAGTGCTGTAATTGGATAATTTTGTATTCAATTCTACTTTTGCATAAATATCTTTCAGAAAAGTAATTAGTTTAATAATTTATAGATTTAAAAAATTATTATTATAAATAATTATTAATTTTTATTAAATTTATAGATATTTAAATGGATAGTTAACTTTTGTTAAAGCAACAAAATTAAGTCTTAATCAAACTTTATCAAAAGATAAGCTTAAAGAAATCAAACTACTATTTATCAAATTTATTAAACATTATAAACAGTAAGTTTTTAAAATATAATTTTATAAAATAATATTTTTAAAATTTTAATTAATATATTTTTTTAGAGACTATTATCAAAAAAAATCTGAATATCTATAGGCAACTCTTATTAGTTTTTATTATCTTTTACATATTGCAGAATCGATTTATGAAACTGGACCAGCATGGGCAACATGGCAATTTCCAATAGAAAGATTATGTAGAATGTTAATTCCTTTAGTTAATTCTCATATGCATCCATATAAAAATTTAATAAACCAATTAACTATGTGGACACATTTTGCACATTTACAATATAATGATAAATATAATTAGCAAATTTTTAAATCAAATTCTAATGGGTGATTACTCAAAAACTCTTTCCATAAATCCTTTACACAAACTTAAATAAAAATTCGTGCATCATAAATTTGCTAATATCTCAATAA